TCTAAACACGTGCTATTCTATTTGGTCAGAGATAAATGCGGTGTTGGCAGATAGGTAACCCTTTTTGGATGAATGCAGTATTCGTCACTCGGAGTGGAAGTATTTTTTGTTCTAACTTTTCTCTATCATCCGTTTGCAGCCTACGAAATATGTTTTGTATTCAATAAAATGATTAATCACACTCTTTGCGAATGCTCTCTTCGTCATATAAACAGAAGTTATTCTCAAAGCCCGTAAGTTATCGCATAGCTATTTAACCTTTAGGGGTCTACGCAGAATATTTCATGATTGAGTTTAGTAACAAAGGTTAATTTTCTTAACATAAAATTGCTTATTTGACCAACCGTCGATGTATCTGAGTAGTTGACAGCTATATAGACAGCGTTATTTCGTTTTAATTTTCGACATGATACCTAAAACTGTGTGAAGAATTGAATTTTCAATTTATCTCAGTATACTATATGTGTAGCGTTCTATGTCAGTTTGACAACACCGCCTCATGTAACCCTCTTCAATAATCAGCAATCAGTTAGTTACGTATACTTGAAGAACCGTCTACATAATTCAAATGAGAAGAACTCAACCATTATCGTCTTAGTAGAGAACAAGAAAACCCCTAAATAACGAAATTCGGCCAATGCGGATAGGACAAAGTTGATATTTGGCGTATCCTGTTTTCTGTTGTTAGTGAATTTAAAACTGGTATTTTAGTACTTAGATATGAAAAGAAAACAATTCAAGATCCTGGTTGGGAGACCTTAATTAATTAGGGCAGAACTTCGAAATAATAAGAACAACAAGAGCAACAACTATACTCGTGAAAGGACTTGGGAGCGTTCATGATTATTCACTTTACCCCGTGCCCCTGGAGCGCGTAAGGATCGAAACGTCCAGTGAACGACGACCTTGGGTACAGGATAGACTTGTACGGTATCTAGACAGCTTGTTGAATCGACATTCAAGTAGAAATGTCAAATTTTAAGTTTAATTACAGGAACCTGAATGATCGGGGCGTGTCAAGATACCAACCGACGTTCGATCTGAACGCGCTCATTTAGGTTCAAGCAAAGTAGATAATTTGATATCTAATTGTTTTTTGTTATCTATGTTCTTGATTAAGAATCTTTGCCCAGGTAGAATAGTTAATAGCTGTCAACACCGCTAGCACATACAGCCCTCCTTAACACGGCCTTAGTAACCGATTCTGGCACTAGGTTCCGCTGGTATGCCAACTGAAGTTCTGAAATTCACCCACAAAAGGTTCAGGCTATTTGTACTTACGTTGATATTTGGTACTATAAATTTTTCGAAGCATATTGGGATGCATTAGGCACATTTGCCTGCAACATGTTAAGACTGGAAGCATACCTTTAACGCGTGTATAAAGGTTAATGGAGATCGAAGGTACAATTAACTAAGGGCAGAGGGCTGATATTGTCACGCTGTATATCGATGTACGTTATGTGAAATTCATTGCTCCACCGAATATAGGTACTCAATTAGTAATATCAGTGAGGAATACAATTAGTGTTATGAAATGTGGTCCTCAGCAATTCACAAGAGCATGTATCATATATTAACAAGCAACAGTTCTTAATGGGCTTAGCAATTGGTATCAAGCTTTTTGCTATGTGGAAGATGAGCGAGGAAGGTACAACGATGCTTCATAAAACTCTTTAAAGTGAAATAGTATCTAAATTGTTAATTAGATCGCTTATCGTTCGTGATGCGCTAATTATATCATCGAATATCGCTTAATATTTGGATTCTGGGGAACGAGATATTTGATAAACAAGACTAATACGCGTTTTAAATTTGCCATTGAATACTTTTGTGCGATTACGTAGTTGGTTCATCCACAAGAGAGGATAAGTGTTTTGAAATGTAGTAGGAGTGTCCAAATTTTGAGCGGTATGTCCAGGCGGAAATAGATAAAGTGTTGTTGATAGGTTTGATGTCTACCTAGGTTAAAACAAACGAAAGGAACAACAGACTACGGCTGGCAGGGAAAATATGATATGATATCAGTTTGTAGAAATTGACTTCAGCTATCTCACCCGTTTCTGACCTAGATATCCCTAAGTGACTCAAATTTAGGAAGAAGCAAACAAACTCATGTTCTTTAATCGAACAGGGACTACTTCAGGCACTACTCCCAAACAAAGCAGGTAACGGTACTTGAAATTCCTTACGTAATTAATAGTATTTTACTTTTTTAAGTTTCCGTTACTGTGTTACCACAAATTAGCTTTGCTATTACAAATTCAGTTGTTTCTGAAAAAGTACCAACTTTCAAAGCATCCTATAAAGGCGTATGCTTGTAGGCGTATGTCACGATTCGTCGCAAAAATTGCGTAGCTTTAGTGCATACTCTCAGGTAGATGTACTTAGCATTGCCTACCAACGAGACAAAGAAATACTAGGCGTACGTCTTTTTCTTTGGAAATAGTATTCAACTAAATAAATTGTACTGAGTGTAATCACGTACAGAAGGGAAGAATCACCCAACTATTGTTAATAAACGGAGACCTAAGAAAGGCAGCAATGGTCAAATACCGGATACTGAAAATGACTGCTTGAACAACACTTGGTTTTTCAAAATAGTGTAAATTCTTTCTGAGTCAAGCAAACTCTTACCTCAAATTAGATGCCTATTTTATCTTATACTTGAGCCACTACAGAGGTCTACGGCTCAAACACTCATTGGTATGGCGGAGCTATGTGCGGGTTCAGGGGAAAGGAGGAGGGTCATAGGGACTCTAGCTAGGGAGCACATGTGCATGCAACATGCAGACCTCTAGGTTTGACAGCCCAATACCGTCTACCACCTACAAGCAATCACAACGTTCATAGCAAATAGAAAAATTATTTTGGGATGTAGCTCACGACGACTGATAAGTAGACATCTAGCGTCTACCACTATGCGATCGCACTGCTGAGCATACTATGAAAATTACTGATGTTATATAATTACTACTATATTGATCCTACAACGACATTCGGGAGTGATTCAGTAAATGTGATATTCATAGATCTTTTGGAGCGAGCAAGGCTGTCTCAACAGTTAAATTAAAAAACGTAAAATGAGTACCTATAACACAGAGGTATAAACGTTTACTAAGAACTAGGATTCAAAATGAAAGTAGATAAGACTCAAAGTCTGGCTCGGGTCTTTTGAGTATCCACCAAAAATTTTGGGTTGTCCTTAACGTTTTGCATTTTTGACTATTGTTATGTTAACAAACATTAAATCAAAATTACCTCAAAACTGTTCAGATAAGAGTCCATTTTTAAGGCCCTTCCCATTTCGGCAATAGTTTTATACATGCTTAAATTCGCGCATGTAATACATTTTTGCAGAAAAATAAGGAATTAATGAGGTAGACATTTCGAAAATTTAGTTTAAACAGCAATTTTACATATTTTATTACCTACTCGGATAGACCTCTCCAAGAAAAGAGGCTTGATATAATGTACAACACGGCTTGCTACGCTGAACTTTAACAGCCTGTCAGTTCACCGTTTTCAAGGGTAGTGATTTCATATTTTTGGCAATCATCGTAGGAGGGGATCTAAAAATCAACTTTGAATCTAAAAATCGAAGTTTCAAAACAATAACATTTGTTACAGCTTATAGAGAAACTAAAAGCCACAAAAGCCAAATTAAGAAACACTCTGCAGTCACAGCACCTGCACCTATAGATATTATATGTAAACATTTTTTGAAAATGAGTCAAAGATATTTGGAATAACCAACTCAAGACTAGTTACCAGGTTTACTATTCATCCCTTCAGCAGTTCGCGAGATTACTTCCGACCATAATATGTTAGAACTTTTTTACAAATAAGCCAAGATTAGTGCTTGAAGACGTAATAGTCATTCAAATGATGACAAAAAATGTAAAACTTACCAAAATGCTTTGACCCCATTGAAATAGTTTGAACTTAAATTACCTCAATGGCTAATTTGCTACGTTGTCTATACGTACCTGCAACAAAAAACGGAAATTAAGTAAAGGCAGTAGGAAAGGATTGTGTTATTTTTGTACTATACTTATATTACTACTACATTGTTAGCTGAAACTTCCCTTGTTTAATGCAATTCATCAAAATAACCTCTGTTGTGGCTAAGCGTCACATCGCAAACGTTTTTATAAGGAGCCATATCTTCAGGCTAAGTTATTTTGTTCGATATCATTTAATTGCCGAAAGAAGCCTGAATCATAGGTAACCACTAGTCACTGTGGCTACGTCAGAATACCATTATGAGCTCAAGTAAAGTACAAGTAACCATGAACGTTTCAGAAGATCACTAGACAAATTGTTAAAGAGCGTCAACTGGCGCCATATTTTGGATGACGATTCAAAACAGGACCTTACTTTCTACCCCTCTTCTACAAAAAATAATCGCTTATTAATTTATTCTAACCTACATGGGCTGTCTCTGGGACCGCATCTGAATGCGCGTGTGTACCGCATTGTGCTGACGTCATGCATAGAACGTGACGTCACCTGCAAAATTACGCTATGCTGATAGAACAATCCTAAAATAATAGTATAACGTTATAAGGCATAACTAGGTAAAACCTGCCTCGAAATGCTGCAGTACATAATAACTGAAAAGATGTACATGTTTTAGTCCAAAAAGCATACATACTACGCAATAATAGGTTCATTCTAAGTTACATATTGAAAAAACGATTAAGTGAAACCTTGGTTCTCTCTATGGTTGAATATGAATTCTTGGTTTATTTTCCCTGTTCAGATGTACATACACACAGAATCAAACTCGTAGAAAGCATATGTTGTCGCTTTGCTAATGGACTTAGAAAGTATGACCATATGGCTAAAAAAATAAAGACTTGAATTGGTTAAAAATTGCAGAAAAATGTAAGCCATTATTGCATTATCACAGGTTAGGTGTGTAGTGTAAAGATATCTTTATTCCATTTCGTTATTTAAATTCTTTTATTTTAGAATAACCCTGTTACTACATCTACCGAAGGTTAGGTGTAAGAGTAGCTTTAAGCTAAATCTCGCCTTGAGTAGATAATAGTAATAAGGACGATTATTAGTATAATTATAATTGTTATTATTATTTCCCTCATTCACAGGCTTTCCTGCTATTAGTTTTGAAACAAGATTGCCCGTTCGTTGCTGATGTTAGAAAGATCTTGTTCTAGTCGCCACCTAAAACTCTACGGATTACACTGCATGTGTCCAACACGACCGACTATTGCATGGGCTAGTATAATTCAAAGGTAATCCTAGTTGTTGCAGTGATGTCCTTAATTTCCTAGGTATTTTTCCAGTTGCTCCGATCACAATGGGGATGATGACCATAGTTTTCATGTCCCACATTTGTCGGATTTCATCACTCTGAGGTGAGTATTTATTAATTTTTACCCATGTGTCTGTTCCAGATTGGCTCCCAATGGCACATCGAGATCCACCATGTATGTTTTGTTTTCATTTTTTAGAGTGAGCACGTGATTATTATGATTATTATTATTATTATTTTAGTATTATTACTGTCATTCATTATTCTTAGTATTATTCTTCTCTGGAATTACATCTTGATTCCTTAATAATAATAATTACAATAATATCTACATATTTGCTTCAAAGAAATAATATATTCCTGATACACAAAACATATTTTAAGGTACAAATAAATCCAAAACTATCAGAAGGACAGCCCTTGTGCGCGAATGCAACAATGGAAAATAAAATAGTATTTAGAAGAATATTGTACGTATACTCATAATAATGGACACTATCCTCAAGTTAATGAATTATCATTAGAACAGCTTTACTGAGTTTTTGAAACATTGACAATGCGAAAGAGCAAAATATGATTTTCGCAGATATACAACCAAACCAACCAATCTTATACACTTTTGTCAGGTGTAACCTCTATCTTAGCAAGTCGGAACTACGTCCATTACTTTGGACCCTCAGGATGTCAAGGAGCTTGGGCTCAAGGCGATTCTCAACTTCGCTAAAAGGGCGAGGCTTGTGATCTAAGGATGGTAGAGGTGCATAAGGGCTCGCTTAAGCGGCCTATGCACTGGCTCCTTATGGTGGCCGGAATGCCTCTAATTACAAGATTCATTCATTCATTCATTCAAGTCGGAACTATGGAACATAAGCTTAATTTTGTGTAGACCTCAACATGTGGATAACATTTGCTAATCGCTGGATTTGGAAGATGCGACGTTACCGGCTAACCAGGTACAATATCAACATTCTATATGTTTCATGCGCCTTCCTTTGGCTGCGAAAAGAGCTTACTACCTCCTTTTTTCTATAATATTACCCTGATTACCTGTCAAGTCTTCGGTCTGATACTATTTGTCTTGTACTATTATTTTGTTCCAGGCGGTTTTCCCAAACTTATGGGCTTTACGTGGTTAATCTCTCTGCAGCACTACATTACTTTCCGGCTATTGTACTCAAATATTTATAGCACCGGATCTGTATAATTGTGCATATAAATATTTTACTATCTGCAACCCGTGTTAAAACTGTTCGCATGAGAGTTTTATATATTTTTTATTAGCCTTATAACACATTTTTGAAGCTTCATAAGCCGATCAATAGCTGATACCACGGTATTTGATATGCAGTGGTTTTCAAGCCCTCTCCCTCCCCTAACCCCCTGCTTAATTTTTCATAATTTATAAGTACCCATTCTGGCCTAAAATGGCAGATAAAAATTTCAACATGACAATTGGGTACCATACTGAAATATTTTTTAAATAGAATGAGTAGCCGTGTGAGGCCTAATTTTGAAGTTTATTGTTACTACTATAAAACTGTAAATTAAAAGTTTACTATACTCCGAAATGTCGGACTGGCGGGATGTTAAACCTAAACGTTCCTAAATACTGAAATCTTATAAGTTCGGATCCTTCCAGAAGAAAAATGTTGATATAATATATACTAAGTGACATATAAATCCGAACACCCAGTTTAAATGGTTTTATTTTAATAAAATTTTGTATAAGTACTTAATGAAGCATAATAAGTAAATGATAAAAATTTCAAAATAATTGCACTGCTTTAAAGCCCTTTGACCTTTAATAATGTGTGGATGCATCCTGATGTGCTACGCATTCTCCAACGCGCCTAGGCATGCTCCTGATCAGGTGGTCAATGTCCTCCTGTGGCAACCACCAACTCCTCTCGAAGTGTTTCTAGAGTCTGAGGAGGACGTTGCAAATTGAGCAATCTCCTGCCCATCATATCCCACACGTGCTCAATTGGGGATAAGTCGGGAGATCTTGGAGGCCATGGTAACAATGTGACATCATTATGTTGAAAGAAGTCTATTGTGACTCTTGCAACATGTGGTCGGGCATTATCTTGTTGGAAAGTTGGATCTGCCAGGGTGTCAAGATAGGGTAAAAGATGGGATTCTAGAACTTCGTGGATATAACGCTGCGCGTTCATGTTACCTGATGAAGATTAAAGGTGACCTGGAACCATAAGCTATAGCACCCCAAACCATAGCTCCAACAGTGTGATGAACATGTCTTTCAACAAAAAACTGTGGATTCCTCCTTTCATCACGTCGCCTTCTAACCCTGGCACGGCCATCGTGCATGCCTAAACAAACTCGAGACTCGTCACTAAAGACAATACTGTTCCATTCCTGATCGCAGAGTGACCGTTGTCTGCACCACTCAAGGCGATTACGTCGGTGTTCTCGCGTTAAAGGGAGGACCCAGTGTGGCCGGTATGAAGACAAACCAAAACTTCTCATTCGTCGGTAAACACTTCGCATGCCAACAGGTCTTCCGTGTTCTGCAAACCATTCATTTGCAATGGACCTGGTAGTGGAGAAACGGTCCGTTAAGGCTAATAATCTTAGGCGGCGATCTTCACGGTCTGTTGTTCTACGCCGGCGTCCAGTGCCCCTTGCTCTTTGCGTACGGCCTTCTCGAAGCCATGCCTGACAACACCTAACCACAGTGTCCACAATTCTTTGGACTCTAACTGCAATTGCCTGAAAGTCCCACTATACGGCCCCTATCAAACTCACTAAGTTGACGAAATCGTACAGGTCTCCGTACTATAGGCATCGTAACCGATCGTAAAGGATGTCAAAAACCAAAATCCGCCAACGTTGATTCAGTACTGCGGCTGAAATATACATTTTTAGAGCGTTAGTGAATTAAAAAAAAGCAGTATAAAAGCCGGAATGTCCAACTGATAAGGCTGAAAACTTTTTCACTTGTTATTTACAGTAAGATAAATACATTCACCAACTTTTATTAAAATAAAAGCATTTAAACTGGGTGTTCGGATTTATATGTCACTTAGTATATGAGTATCATATTATAAGATTATAAGTCATTCAACGTACAACATCGCTCAGCTACGACAGTCTGCTAGTCTGCCATTTTCAAAGATAGTAAATTTATAGAATTTTCCAAGCCTGATCGGCATCTCAAAATGTCCAGCTGCTACTTTGGGCCAACATATAGTACTCCTGTATTGATTACATCTGAGCAGAACATGAAATTAAGTAGATTAACGCAACGCTTCTTGCTTATGCTGCATTGAAAAAGTTATTTACTGATGCTTGTAGTTGTAAATGTAGTCAAGTAATTTGAGGGTGCCATTCCCAGAATCAAACAAGAGTGTGGAAATACTTCAGGATCATCCTCAGCTTTTGTACCAAGAGACGAAAAAAACAACGACCCACATACCTTGATTGAAGCGCACACCTAACTGGAGCGATATGGGAACATTTTACATTATACGGCTTATTTCTCTGTACATTTTTGGTTGATTATTATCGCTACAGACTCTGAACTTCTTTATCAACAGATGGGCGGAAACTGTTTTCGTCTTAAAGTCCATTGATGATACCCAAAAATAGCTGGTTAAAATTTGATTGTGACGCCCCTGGCCCAGTTCTGTTAGATATAACCAATTAAATTCCTTAATGCCTACCGACCTTCTACAAAGTTTTAGTTGAGTCGCTCAGTAATTTAAAATAAATTTTCATTGGATGAATTGGAAGATATTAACTTAAACACCGTATCTCCTAGTAAAGAAGCCGTACAATTATTTTAACAAAAGAATCTTCTCCGATTGTCTGATACGTACTTTTAACTTCTTCGGATTCTGAAAATGTACAGGTGTTAGAAAGTGTACTTTTTCAAGTTTCCAATCTTTCGGCATTACTTTTGAAATGTTGATTCGCCGTTTTGTGGCGCCATATTGGACTCAACATGGCGACAGCTGGTTTATTTTGTATTGTCACGACAGGTTGACTGATTTAAAATTCAGTTAAAAGATTTGTCCTACACACATGCTAACATAACGTGTGTATTGGTACAAAACCTTTATCGGATTTTTTTAATATTAAAATTTATTTAAACACTAACTAGTCATCATAAACTACAACTGCACTATCGAATTATGTGGAGTGGCCCTTTCTACTCTACCAGACGAAACTGTCTTCGAATGTCTCTTATGACATGGTTATTAGCATGATGTTCGTGGACAAACTGGAGCAACTTGGAAATGCAGTTATCAATATATCCAAAGCTTCACCCCTCAGTGTTCCACACAAAAGGTTGAGATATTACTGTTAGAAGCTTCGCACCAAAGATTTTATCTGCAAATTTTGCTTTATGTTTGTATCTAACATTGTAAGGGCATTCCTTTACGTTGTGCATATAAAATCTGTCGTTTCAGAGGTATTCAAAGTGAAACACCTTTCGTCATCTAAAATAACGATTTTTCCATTGGCAAAACTGACCCGCTTCAACTGAAAATAGCATCTTAAGAATATTTAGAACACTTGAGTCTCTTCCGATATTTAAGACCATTCCTCCTCATTCCAGCCATATCGTGCTCTTAGAAGATCTTTATTGACGAGCCAGTCTCCTTCTTGATATTCCAACCTGATTTTTTGCTCTCCTTACCAACCTCTCTGAACTCTGAGCAGTAAATGCACGTAGTCTTTCCACTGTGTGGGAGATTCATACATGGTATTCCCTGCTGGCACCCTGATATTGTTTGATGAATGGTTCTGCGTGAAACGTTTTCGTTCTGGAATATTCAACAGATTTGAGTCCCCGCCCAACCAACGTGTACATATTTTTTCTTATTTCTAATTTATAAGGACTTCAAAATAAAGAAATGTCAACTGACAGTAAAGAAAGTAAACAAACTTTTTGAAGAATGAAGGCTTTCACGGCTAATTCTAATGTAATTTAGGTTTTTCGGGCTGTTGAGCCGTGGTCGTGTTGGATTTGGTCCAGAGCTTTCGGTTACATCTGCGATAGCCATCTTCAGTGGCGCTGTCGACGAGAGCCAAGTGCTCGGCTTGGCGGGTCGACTGAAACTGATCGGTTAACTGGATGAGCATGCGGTTTTATAGGCGATTGACGAACTGAGGACTGAGTTGAGGGGTTTCTGGGAAGAACATTTGTCAAAAAACAAAAAATGTGGCAAATCAACAAAAACTGATTTTGTTGTTTATACGGCTGTGTAACGCATTTTTTTAG